GGTTCCAGAGACTTGTTTCTAGAAGGTTCTAGAAACTTATCTTTAGAAGGTTCTAAGGACTATGTCCCTAACATCTTCTACCAACTAAGAAGCTTCTAGAAGGTTCCAGAGACTTGCTTCTAAAAGGTTTTAGAAACTTGTCTCTAGAAGGTTCTAAGGACTATGTCCCTAACAGTACTTTGAGTCGTTCAAATACAATACAAATCTTCAAAAAATGTGTAGACACTTCTATTTGAGAAGAAACAAATATAAACAAAAACATAATTGAAGATGATGTAGTCTACATTCTTATACATGCAAAAACAAATGATGAAGCTGGATACCATAATATAAAATACTTAGATGCTTACAAGAAAGAGACCAAGGTTGAAGACTTTACAACAATTGATACAAGTGCTAGTCCATTGTTTTACTTTCATTTTTTATGAGTATTAATTTATTGACATTGGATTCTAGAAGTTATTGTTGATATAATAGATATTAATTTTTAATTAAAGCAATGTTGGTTTTGTGATTGAAGAACATTTTTCCTTATTAAGATTTTATACTTAAATAAAATAAAATATTAAAAGTATGATATAAAAACATCGTCAAATATTAAATGTATATTTTGGTGACTCTCTATTGCATTCATATATGTAAAAGTATATAAATATTTTTGAAATAAAATTGAGAATGTAATTTGTAATATGTCATGTTTATTTTAAATTCTTAATTAATACTAAAATTATAAGAATAATTTAATTATACTACTAAAAAGTCATATATACAAATAAACACAATGTAGAAATAATAAGTTTAGAAAATTAATCATAATGAATTAAATAAAAAATTAGATTATATTACTTAATGCATCAACAAGTATTGTTTATATAAAATAATTCCACTTGGTTCAGCTACAATAATTTTTTGCTCATCTTGTATATCCAATTACAATAAATTCTATAATTAAAAGATGATTTTAAAAAAATAAAAGGTTTTTATTAAAATCCTATGTGGCTTGTGACTTTTGAACTTTGTAGCCTAATTGGCAATGTAATCATTTGTAGTGATGTATTCCAACACTCTTCCTAACATCACTACAACTTCTTCCATAAAAATTATTTTCTTTCCTTAAAAGTGTCATGTTGTAGTTTTTGGATATTAAGGACTTGTCATTGGCTCAAATTGTGAATGTCCTCCTTTTAACGTTTTCGCTAATGATTCAATGTATTCTAAAGATTGTGTTCAATTTTGGTTGTAAAATAATCTCTACATTTAAAATAGCCAATTTAATAGTGATTTGTTACATCTTTTGCTAAATGTGTTGGTTAGAAAGTATATAATGCCAAAATAAGTAGGGATTCCAACTTACATGAGCTGCTTTGATTTTATAGGATGAGCAAACGGTGATGTAGCAAGGTTGATTTGTCACTTTGTAATGCAACATGTCATTTTTGGTCTGAATAAGCTTCTTGTAAATCTTTGAATTGAAATTTAATTTTTAAGATAGATGAACAATATTTGAAATGATAGAGTATACTTCAATTTCTTAATTAATTTCTTATTAATATAATAAAATATTTGTGCTTGATTTCTCTTTGTTGGTCTATAGCAATTAGTCCAAATATTAATAAAGGTTTAGAAAACGATTCATTGTAGGTGTAAATATTTGCTTTAAGTTCAGATAAGTTTATAATTTCTTCATAAGCCTTACTAATTACATAGTATAATTTAAGTTGTATCCTTGATATGTTGATGATGAAAATATTTTATATGAGTGTGATTTTACACATGAAAAAATTTACTTAAATCCTAAAATTTCTAAAAAAAAATTTAAATTGCTTATCTTTCTAAGATGATGTCATCTCAATTACAAAAGCAATTCAGATTACTCTTTGAAGTTGTGGAAGTTATATTAATCTTTTTATTATAGTAAGAAGCAATGATACTATATACAAACAATAAGTTAAGAATCATAATCACAAGATATTGATTCATTTATTTAATGCATCAATGTACTTCATTTATGTGAGGGTAAATTTTTTCTCAATCCAAATTACAAAATAGCATCAATTAAGAATTTATTTATTATTGGTGGTATCAAGTAAAAGATACAATAAGCAAAAATAAAAGAAAGAACAACAAAAAATAACTGAAATAAGTGCAATCAAGCAATTACAAACAAAAAAAGTAATCCATAGTCTATTTATTAAGTTTTTATCTAGTAAAAAATTAAAAATAAAAATAAAAATAGAATTTTAAATAGCTAATTTTATTGTCTTTTTAATGACATAAGAAATATAAAAATACAAATTACTACAAGTAAGTTATGAAAGTTTAAAGATAGGAAGTGAACAATTAAAAGGTTAAGTAAAAATATTTTACCTCAATGGTAACTTGCTTATAGAACAAAAGTTTGAACCTCACTGAGTCTCACATGTAGTGTATATAGATTGCTTAAAGAGGCCTCAAGACTTTAGTCTTATCTTCCTACTTACATCCAAGGTACTACAACCTATATGTACACCTCCTTTTTTACAAGGACTAGAATAATTATTGGTCTTCTTGTTTTCTACTAGTAGAACTCATATTTTTGTATTTTTTACTACACTATGATGTTTAAAAACACTCAAATAGCCTATGAATGTGTTATAGCCTTCAAATCTTGTCCAATTTTTATATAATGGCTTCCAAAGTGGTAAAATTTAATTTTATCAAGGTCTTGAAATATTTTCTAAAAATTCCTAAAAATTTTTAAATAAATCCTAAATAAATTCTAAAAAATACTATAATATTTTTATAATCCTAATATCTATTTAAGGCTATATTTTTATCTTTTTTTGATTTAATTACAATAATAAAATTAATATAAATCCACTAAAAATCTTAATTTTTATATAATCAATTAAAAAGATATAAAGTTATTTTTCATGCTTCTTCTAACTACTAACTAATCATTGATAGGATTTTTATAAGTAATACATGTAGATTAGAGGCCAATGTAGACATTGGTCTCAATAATTAATTATTAATACTTAAAAATAAGTAAAAATACTAAACTAACTAAGATAATTACCTCTAAGACTTTCTAAGACATAATTTTTGTAATTTTTCTTCTAATAAGACTTTTATAACTTATGAATACTTCTAAATTCTAATAAATACTTGAATAGTCAAAAAGACTTTCTAATCTTAATATTTGTATAATTAAATGACTTGAAACTATATTTTTAACTAATGTATCAATTAAGATGCATTGGTATAATTCATAGTTTACATATAATAATTCTACTTGGTTCTACTATCATTATTGTTTATGCATCTTACATGCATAATTATAATACTTCTATAAATAAAAAAAATATTTTGAAATAAAAAAATGTTTATATTATAATCTTATATGGCATGTGATGGATAATTTGATTGGCCTAGTTGGCAATGTCATCATTGGTGGTGATATGTTCCAACACACAATATCTTATACAATAAGCATACATTGTAATTGATTGTCTACTGCATCCATATATCTAATATATATATATATATATATATATATATATTTCTTAGAAATGAGATTGAAAATGTAATTTGTAAAATATCATATGGGTTTTGAAATCCTAATTGATATTGAAAACTTACCAACTGGATTGAAACATAGTTCCCAAATTCTCATCCTAATGAAGTAAGAAAGAGCATAATACTCAAAAAATAATCCACAATACTTCAATCAAGGTGCCTTCTACCTTAGCAAATGCAAATATTTGTACTGCTAATCCCATTAGAGAATATGCAAGCATTTTCAATTGAGTACATCCAATAAGAGCATATCTTATTGTACAATATATGAAGTAATATATCGAAAGTTACTCCATTTCATTTGCCACCTTCTATGTTGGAGCTAGTTATTAACACATGGTGCAAAAGGAGGACCCACAATTTGAAACACCCACTTTTTTAGGAAATGGTTGTATTCAAAATGTTGAAGCAGTCAATAGCAACAAAGCCTACGGATCAAAGTTTAGAAACGACAGCCTCACCACCCGTTAGTGTGTATACAGTTGTGGGATCACAAGAAAATGATCCCAAACAAGGCCCATGGAAGCAAGGCAGATCAACCAACCACATCAGGAAATTATCAGCTCTAGGAGTCCACTGCATTATTGGGTCAAGCACAGATTTAGATCCTGCCAAAGAGCAATCGAAACAAACATATAAGACAATCAACCATCGCTAAGATGCGATGCCGATACAATGCGTGTCATGCAGCTGGTGCACAGCGAGTTTAGCTGCCCGTTTTCCCAGTCTCCTTCCATGTGATCGACATGAATGCTGTTCATGTGCGTAGTCCTGAGCCAGATCGACAGGCTACTCTGTGCCCATTGAAGACAGTGCACAAATCGTAGCCCGGCGGGTTCTGTGTTGCAGTGAAACTTCATCCAACATTTCGGTGAGAGTTTTCTTTTATAGCGATCCTGGGAATAGCTTCCGGTCGCAAGTGTGGGTGCAGAGCGGTGCTGGAACACGAACAGACTTCTACACATATTAAAAGCCAAAAACTCGTCATTTTTAAAGTTTATGTTAGTAATCAACTTTAATCAGCATACTTTACGATGTTCATTAGCACAAAAACTCCGTTTCGAATCAGCATATTGCATTCTTGTCACGTTCTCAACCTCAACTGATAATCACACAGGGAATTAGTATTTTATCCATCGTCGGTGAAACTCTGATAATTGCAATGAGGCTACTTGCATAACCTCCAATAGCAAGCGTGGCTCCTTGACATACAACAACATAACCCCGATAACATAAACCAAAAGAAGTTTAGAACACACACATACAGACGCGGAGAGGTTAGTCGGCAGCACATATCAGCGTTTCGGAAGACCCTGCAACATCTGCAGCGGCAGCAGAGGCGGCGGCGGCATCAACTTGACAAGGGTAAATCCCAGCGTGAATCACCTCCTCAGCGAGCGAGTTTCGGCGCTCGTAGAGCTTGGGGCGGATGCCGAGGACTTCATGTACCCCTTGGCGGACCAGTTCACACCTTGCTCCCGGACCCAATAGCCTCTCTTCAAGGCTGCGGTGGAGATGGCGAGGCGCAGGGCGGAAGTGACGAGGACGCCACAAGCCCGCTCGCATCACAGCCTTCGAGACGTCGGACCTTTACAAGCCCAGCTTTGACTCTCCCCCTCTCGCTGCGCCACTTGAGAGAAGAGGCACAACCACGCCTTGAGCGATGGGGTTACTGGGTGCCATGGCGAGCTTTGCGTGAGGGCTAGTTGGGGATGTTTGGTGGAGAAACACGTAACTGACGGCGAAGCGCGTCAAAGCTTCCTCTCTTTCGATCGTGCCCCTTCCGATGGTGAGGTCGAGTCGGGCGTGGGAGGTGCGTTTTGGGTTAGCAGTTTGTAGGGTTGGGGTTTGTTTTTTGGCTTGTTGCTTTTTGGTTTGTGAGGGAGTAATTAGGGTTTGAGTGGATATAGAGGTGGGGGGAGAGAGAGATTGATAGAGATCGAGAGGAAGATGGGGGAGACGGAAGCGGGGTTCGCGAAATTGCAGGGGGAAGATTTCGAGTATTACATGCAAACGTATTCGATTGTGTTGGGGAGGAATAGCAAGAAGTCGGCGGTGGATGTGGACTTGGCGGGACTGGGAGGGGGGATGAACATCTCTCGACAGCATGCGAGGATTTTGTATGACTTCGAGCGCCAGCGGTTTGTGCTGGAGGTGCTGGGAAAGAATGGGTGTTATGTTGAAGGCGTGTTGCACTACCCGGGCAACACGCCCGTGAAATTGGACTCGCAGGACCTGCTTCAGATTGGCGAGAAGCGATTCTATTTTCTTCTTCCTGCGAAGAAAATAGCGCGCTCGGTTGCGGCCGTGTCCAGCCCTCCGAATCCTAGAAAACGGGCTGCTGGTGCCGGGAGAGCAGCGCCGGCTGCGTTGGTGCTAGGACCGTCTCCGCCAGCGAAGAAGGGAAGAGGCCAGGGCAGGAATGGGCCGGCTGGTAGAGGCACCCGGGAGCGGAAGCAAGCGCCCGTGAGTCCGTGGATTGGGCAGCAAAAGGTGGAACCTTTTCCTCCCGCTGGCAGCACCACAAGGGTGCGGGAGTCATACAGGTATGACGACGACGAGCCCGACGTAGGACACGAACAATCTGAAGAAACAGAAGTGGTGAGGATTATTTTGGAGAAGCTGCAAAGCCAATATCATCTTGGTGAGTGGATGGCCGTGTCCAAATTGCATGCCGACATATTAGATCACTTCCAGAGCAGGCAAAGGTCGTCCCAGTTTATGCACATCATGGGCTTGGATGAAGATGGAATCGAGAAGGATGGCAAAGGAAACAGCAAGGCTTGGTCGGGGCTTGTGAATCTGCTGAAACGGTACCCTCGATACTTCGTCATCAATACCAAGCTGAAAGGAGGCATCAGGGTGGAATATGTTTCTCTTTACACCGAGGAGCAGTAGTCTATCTATATCCCCGTGATGAGACAGCAGAATTTCATCTTCATGATTCCGCTCTACCTCGAATCTTCACTGTAAAGTCATGTAATTACTTCTGTGAAGCCGTGGAGGTTGCAATTCTGATGACGTTGGTTGCGCCTAGCACCATGTCCTCGCTGCTGCCATTTGGAGGCTGGTTTTTTGTCGATGCAATCTGCGAATAACAATGGTGAAGAGACGTGTAATCAGATCATCAGAACATGGACTTCAACAAGCAATGTACCTAGCAGTTTGTGGCATGCTTTGTGAAGGTTGTTCAACCCGAGTGCTACATCAGAAAGGGGGCGACTGCGTTAGTGTGTTCATGTGCAGGAATTGTGATTAGATCATTTTTTCTGCAAGGAAAGACAACAGGCAGTCTTCACCCATAATTGTCTCAGGGCTCCTCAATGTGTATTCTTGATGTCACTGGTAATTCTTATAAATGTACCATCTCCATCTACTTGGATACTTCAGTTGATCTTTAGTGTTTGATGCTCGAAAGTGAGCTTGGGACTGTTCTGACGCCAGTTTAGGAACGTCACGTTTCATGTTTATTGGACGAGGTGCAACTTGTTATTTTAAGTTCAACTCTGACTTTGACAAGTGGTCTCTGGTCATTGTAGAGTGCTGTTGTGCACCGTGACTCTACTCTCAGCTTCCAGACACCCTGCATTGAGTGGGCATTGGTTTTGCTCTTGATGTTACTGTCAGCGTCTTGTTGTGCATCATCTTTCTATCAGTCTTCGTTATTTTCCCGTCAGAGTAGAATACACAATGTAGAAGTTGGTTTAAAATGTTTCGGTTGTTTATACATTGTATCTGAAATTGCAGAAGACTAACGGCTGTTTCAGTTGTGGAAAACCATGATCATCTCATATTGTTTGCTCTTCCATGTCCAAGCTTCAATTCACCCACATAATAGAATAAGAAAAGCATTGAGAAAAAAAGTTGACAAAACAAAATCAGAGAAGGATTCTCTCATATTTGCATGAGTAGGATTCTGCACGGAGCAGCATCATTTCCAGAGAAGAAAGCTTAGTACATTCAAAAGACTGAAATTCAAATTTCTTTTGGAGGCTGAGCTCTCGAAACTCAGCAAGGGGCGCTGCTCCTTAAACCCGTTTGCTGATCGCCTAGTGAATTTTTTGAATGCTATAAGTTATATTGTTAATATAATACAACTTGTTCTTAATAAAAATTCTTTTTCAACATAATTCATTGCATTTGACTACCAGGCGATAGATTTTTTAGAAATTTAAAATTCATATTTAGAAAATTGCTTAGATTTCTTTCTATGCAATATACTAGTGTTTTATTGCTTGAAATTGGATGCTCTTCAAAAGTATCTCCTATAAATACCTTAATCCTTTCTTTTGCTAAAATTAGTCTTTGATTTATTTATTTATTTAGTTTTTAAATATATCTTGATGTTTGATCCCTTTCTTTAAGTTTTACAAATTTGATTTTAAGATCCTTCAAGTCTCTTAAAATCAAAGGTTATCTTACATGCTTTCTTATCTTTATTGTAGTAAGAGGCTTAAATAACTGAATCATCACATTATAAAAAAATATGATTCAATTCTATTTCTTGTACATTCTACCTCAAATAATTTGAAATATCTCTTCAATTAAATTAATCAACTTTGTCAACCACACCATGCATTCATTTATTTGTTACAACTTCTTTTTATCATTCCTTATTATTATTGTTGCATATACTTAAAACATATTTATAATGTTTTGATTAAATTATATAAATCTTATTGTCCAAAAGCAACTTGACACTCCACTTGAAATTCTATCAAAAGATCTTACTTCAACTTCAATGATTTATTGTTTGTTTTTTATTATCTTTAATATTAAAAAAAAAACCTTTTATTTCAATCTTTTCATGTCAAGTTCTCAAATATGTTATATTATATGAGTTATATTTGCAAATGTGAATAGTATTGGATTCTATAAGAAATTCATCTAAAATCTATTTTTTTTCTTATAATCAAATATATATATATATATATATATATATATATATATATATACATTGTTGAAAAACATCTTTTTTGACAAATTTAACTCTCTTAAATTTTATAAATCTAAGTAATTGTAAGCTTTATTAGTTCTAAATCTTAAATCCTATCAATCCTAAAAAATAACTTACAAAAAAATCCTATATAAATCTTTAAACCTCCTAAATAAAACTTAAATCAATTTTAAAAATTCTAAATTAGTTCCAAAAAATCCTAAAAAATCTTATCAAATTCCAAATACATTCTAAAAAAATATTAAAAATCTTAATAAAATTTAATATAATCTTCAATGAATCCTAAGAGATCCCAAAATTTTCTATATTTTAAGCAATTTTTTTAATAAACTATCAATCTTTATTTTATTATTAATATAATTTTGAATTTCATTTCTTTATTGAATATGCTAATTTTACATAAGATCATAAATTTTACAAAACTTCTAATTTATAATTTGAAAGGAATAATAAAAAAAATCCTTTCAAATTTTAGGCATTATTTTATTTTTAAAATTTAAAGTTGGATTTTCATAAGCAAGTTATATTTAATTATTATTAATTTGTTTCTAAACTTAGAATCAATTATATATTTTAAATATTAATACTAAAATTAGTAATTATGAAGATAAGAATAATTAGGTAGAAATATGTTAAAGTATGTTAATTTTATAATATTTAATTGATAAACTTCTATAAATCTTTATAGGCATTGATTAAACTTTATAATTGGTTGTAGGTGATTTATAAGTTAAAAATTTAGTAAAAAAATTAGCTATATGTCACACATGTTGACCACATCTTTTATAAGTTGGCTTTAAGATGCATATATTGACTATTTGTAGTATAAGTTAGCTATATGGTGTTATGGACATTCAATAAGAATATTCTAAGAATATTCTATTAAAATCTATAAGATTTCAAAAGATTCTAAAAATATTTCTAAAAGATTTTTAGAAGGTTCTTGAATGTTCTTAATATATATATAGATTCTAGAAAGTTCTAAGAGGATTAAGGAAGTTATTTGAGAAGCTTCTTTGGATTGCTTCATCTTCAAGTAATATGAAAACTTCTTGATAAGTTTTTTAATACCTAATATATATTGGAGTCAAGGTTGAAGGGATCCTTAATCTCAACAATACATCTTTTAGAATTCTAGTTCATTTTTCTTAGTATTGGTCTTGTATTCATCTAGTTTAATCAAGTTCTTATTAACTTTCTTGTTGAAATTCTTCCATTCAACTTCTTATTTGGTATCTCATATAATATATTGGTGATAATTTGTCAAGATTGCCCACTAGGTCATAAATCTAAAAATTGTCCAAAGAAACAACATACAACCAAGATTAAGAGTATAATCATTTAGGAAAACAAAGAGGCCCAACTACAATAGAGACCATACAACTGGACATTTCAATACCTCAAATTCATCAAGGTCCCTTTCTTTCTACCTAAATTTCTTGTTATTTTACTATACCTTTATTTCTTAGCCTACAAAAATTTCAAAAAAATACCTTATTAAATTTAGGAGCATCCGCTTGCTTTTTAAATGAGGAATTTTTTAAACTTCATAAAATTCTTTTAGTATAGAACTCAAAACATGTATATGTAGAAGTAAAAGATGGTCAATCTTTATCTTTAGATAATGTTATGCATGAGATTATATTGCTAGAAATCCTATGAATGTATATATATATTATTACAATTTAGAATATTTCATCTTAGTTCTTGTTTTGAATTACAGTTAAATTTGTTGGAATATATTATTATCTTATTTTGATATTGTGATTACGTATTTATTAAGAAAGTAATAAGGACTATGAAATGCTTTATTAAGGAGATCATATCTTGTTCCAAAGATCAAAGAAGTAGCATTTGATTAGTAATATACTACTTTCTTGATGCTAATTTTTTTTTGTCTTTGTACTATTTCTATGGTTATACCTATTGATTCAAGTTTTCTTGAATAAATTTGTGCAATGTCAACTGAGGACTCATTAATTTGTAATATCAATCACTGCCTTAACAATAATAAGTTTAAATTTATAGAAGATCTTTTGTATTTTAAAACTTATTTATATATTTCAGGAGGTCCAATGAAACTTCATATTTTTTAATCTCTTCATGATTTTCCAATTGCAAGATATTTTGGATTTAATAAAATATAGGAGCTTATTTCTCAAGATTTTTAGTGGTCTCAAATATAGAAGAGTGTAAAAGACTTTGTCCTCTCATGTGACATATGTTCAAGATCAAAGAATTCTCAACATTGCTCTTATGGACTTCTACAACTATTATAAATTCCAAAGCAATCATGGTCTTTAATATTAGTAGATTTCATCATTAACATATTACCATCACCTACATTTGATGCTATTTATGTTGTTGTAGATTGACTTACTAAGATAGCATATTTTATTCCATGTAAAAAGATAATTTTTAGAAAACAAATAATAAGTTCTTTTTTGATACTATACATCAATATTATGGCCTATCTAATGATATTATTTTTGATCAAGAATCTCAATTTATATCAAAATCTTAGAAATTCTTTTTTAAGATATTGAAAGTAGATATCAAATTTTTGTCTATCTTCCATCGTCAAATAGAACAAGTCAATCAAGTTTTGGAATAATATTTGCAATATACCATCAATTATCAATAAGATGATTGGACATTATATTTATTTTTAATATTTTTTTTATAATAATATTCTTCATGTATAAGTCATTAAATCAACTCATTGATAATTTTAGAATAAAAAGATGCATTATGAGTACCAAATAATAAAGATTAATATTAAATCATTATTATTTATGCTTATAATACTTAACATTAATCTTTACTATTTTTATTATATATTCTTAATTAAAATAATTCTTTAACTTAAATTATTTTAATAAAAATATCATAAGTTAGAAATAAGTTGGAAGTAATTTAGAAATAAACTAACTTCAATCTAAATTATTATGCTTTTAATCTTTATAAGTATTTTAAATTCTTATAAATTAAGATATGTGAGTAATCAATTTTTACTTAAAAAAATATATTTTAAACACAATGGTGAAGTTAATTTGGCCAAAAATTTATTTCTAAGGCTCATTCAATAGTCATCACCTTCAATCTTGGATTTTGAATCTTGGATAAATAAAGGCAATAAATCTAGATTAGAGATTTTTATCACAGACATATATATTTATTTCAATAATTACTTATATGATTACTTAGAAATAGATAAATATAGATTAATTTCATAAAGTCTTTTAGTGAAAGTTCCTAGAAGCTTTATAGACATGGTTTTGATTTTAGATGTGTTTGTAGGTCAGAAACTTGGCCAAGAAGTTAACCACATGTAGTAGCTTGTAGAACAAGCTAACCATGTGGCGCATACATAGATAACTTGCCTTACAAGTTAAGATATGTGGTTAGCATAGTCAATATGTTTTGGAGGTCCTATAGAACATCACCACGTAGCTCCTAGTTAAGAATATATATATGGAGGCAAGAGTGAAGCCTTCTTCACTCTTGTGAACACCATTCTAGTCCTTATTCTTGTTTCAAGACTTTC